AGTATTGTAAAAAAATTTTTTTGTGTTTCACACCGTGTGTAAAATCAATTGTGTAACATCAACGTTTCCTCCTGTTGCTTATTTCTACAGCAGAGACCGTTAATGTTACACATATATTAAAACTGGTGAGGGATTATATTCATCACAATTGAATCAAACATCAATAATTTAAATTGTGATTCACTTTGGATCGGGCACTGTCTCTGCTGTAGCTTATTTCATTGTCTTTCGCCTCTAATGTCCATTAAGTTTATAAATAGAATATTTTTAATAATTACTTTAATATTAAAAAACAATAGTAATAGTTATCTATTATTCCTGTAATTTTAAATTATATTAAAAGTCAGTATTGAAATTAGAAGTTGTTAAATACTGGACATTTTTCATTCAACTACTTAGCTAGTTCATAGGATGATATTAGCAACGCTGGTGAGTTAACAGGCTCAACATTTTACAATTTTTATTTAAAATAATTATGTATATATTTAAAAATAATAAAACCAATTTTAATATGTTTAGTAGTAATTAAAAAATGATCATAACTAAATTTATTTAGTAAAATAAAAACAAAATTTGAACTAAATAGTAAAGGAATTCAAAATGACATTCTTAAAAAGAGTCTTTGCTAATGCTTTAAGTCCTAAAACAGAGGTTGCCACATCAAAGACTCAAAGAACCAGAGTGATCTTCTTGCAAAGAACTTCTACAGACACTTAATACTTTAAAAGTAAAAGCATTAGCAGAGGCTCTTTGTGAGAACATCACTCTAAAATTATTAACGGAAACGCTTTGTAAAATCATTGCCCTGGTTTCTTTAAATTTTTGGAATAATGAAAACAACATTCGTGTTTTTTTGAAGATGCGAATAACATATTGATATCCGATCTCATAAAATTTGAGTGGTGGTTTCCCAACTAGGAGTTTCCTATAAGGTTAATAAAGCATGTTTCATGAAGAGTTGTGATAATTAAGTTTAAGGTCATGATGCACATTTATCTGTTCCACTGGACCATGCGATGTAATAGTTGGTTGTTCCTTGTTAGTGATAACGATAGATTTTTTGTGAATTTAGTGAGCAGGATAGTGGTCAGGATTATTTATCACTTAATATATATGTTGCACCCCAAATAACAATCTAGTCCCGATTGTTAATTGGGACAGCCCATATAAAAATTGTCCAGATCTAACCCTAGCGTCTAAGCTAAATTAATTTGCTTTTTGGCCAGGTTGTCATTTGGAAAAATTGCCATTTGGAGCAAGACATATATATTTAATAGTAAGAATGGCTTACATATTTTTAGATTTCTAGAGTAATGATTTTACCTTTTTCAACTATTTTAGCTTAAATATATTCTTAAAAACGTTTATAGAAAAATTACGTAAAAAATTTTATGTTCAAATATTCAATTTCAAGTTAACCCTTTACAAACATTCTGTTTCATATGGTGAACTATTCAAAGAGAGATATTTATGTATAGCTAAGATTTTAATATTAGAACATAAAATTTTTTAACGTAACTTTGTTATAAATGTGTTTAAGAATAGATTTATGCTAAAATATTTGAAAAGGTAAAGCGATTTCTAAAAACATTAAGTCATTCATTCTTTACTATGTTAAAATATATATACCGACCATTATCCTGATCACTAAATTTACAAAAAATCTATCATTAATAATTCTGTAATTTTACTAATGATCCACGAAGAATTTATGAAAGTTAAGCTAAAATTTGGTCATCAAATCTGAGTATTTGGTCCCAGTTTTAAATTTTGGTTACCGAATTACATATTAATAAATCAATGTTAAACCTCGAAAAAGTTTTTTGGAGCCCTGATCTTTATTGATAACGCGTCTAACCCAACTTCCCACCTTTGATGTATCTTATTAGACATAGAAATTTATTATAATGACGCACCCTCGGGATAATAGCAATTTAGCCAAAAATAATTATTATTTTATTAGTGGTCAAAATTTCCAAATTTTGAGGTATTTTTACAAATATGTACGGACGTACGAAAATTGAGTAAAATTTTGATAGTATGTACGGTTAACGTAGGTTAATTTTTTATGTCTATTATCCATTTGGCACGAGGATGTGACAAATCATCGGGTGAGACTAATAAGCATTAGTTAATATAATTATTTAGCCAATTCTTACTTGTCATGCCGATGATTCGTCACATCCTCATGCCAATGAAAAAGTAGACCTAATCCTTTACAAGTAAAACCTTTTTTTTTGTTTAGGTTAGTTATCGCAACTACGTTATCGCTTACATTTTTTTGAATAAAATCACGCGGAGCAATCAAACTTAAGATTTCGCCGACAAATCCACTTCAAACATCATATAATCCATATACTCATTACATTCGTTCTTGAAAAATGCTTATTATTACATTTAAACAATCGATTTTTTTATTTTTTTTTTAACTCAAAAAAAAAAAACAATCTTAATATTGATATACGTAATCGATATATGTAGTTTATTTTCTTTTTCATAGTAAACGTAAGGCGTATAACAGTTGTTATACTCCAAATAGACTCACTCAAACTCATGTGATTAACTTCTTTTAAGAAGTTTCTTAAGACGCATATTATTAACCCTTCTGTTCTTTTATTCGGTTTGCAAAATTATGTGAAATTTGAAAATCATTAAAAAAAAAGTTATCAATAATTTTCGATTACTGATCTCTGATTTCTTCATTTTTTTTTTTGACTTTTAAACTAGATAAAATCTGCGCATTTAACATTCGTAAAAATTTGATTGAATATTTTAATGCCCAACTCCTATTTCTTCAAATATATTACAAATGAATATGTGACCTTTATTTCTATAAAAAATAATAGAATTTTTACATAATTTGGAAACCACAATAATTGACAAGTGAGGTTGGCAATAGGGATTGGATATGACTACTCAAGATTATGACCCACTTTGAACACTTTGTTACGGCGAGGTAGAGCTATTATATTTTCCAACCAAATTTAACTCAATGCCGCAAGCATTAAATACAAACCCCGTAATTTACTTCAATACACAAAGGCAAGAAAAATACTCTTCTTAACTAATACAAGAAAGAATCCTCTTTTTATACTAACTATTAGACTTTAACTAATTATTATGCTATTAGACTCTAACTATAAAATGTTTTAATGATCGTTAAAGTATAATAAAGGTTCGATCATTATCTAAATACGTATCAGCTAAACTATAATAAAGTTACACAAGAAAAAGTATAATGTTAAAAATTACATCATTTTTCGTAACACACTTCAAGTGCCTTGTTACAATATTAAATTTCCTTTTTGAAAATAAATAATATCAAACCCTTCCAAATTTCTATCTGCAAAATATGGCAATCTCTTATTTAGATTCTTTATCGACATCAGTAGTAAAATCACTCTCAATTTTACATCTTTTTTTATCATTCACTTATTTTACACATTATTATTCGCATTTTCGTCGAACACAATATGATTAACTTCTGCTGGGGGATGATTTGTGATAATTATGAGTTCTCGTTCTATTATTCTGTCAATAAAAAAATAAGTGAGATACTGACGAGGATAAAATATTATATCATAAAATTCAGACACGAATACCCCGAATATTTCCATAATTCAATTTGTACCCTTTATAACTTACTGCCTGACTCTTAAAGCCGGCAGAGGATACACACCATGAGGTATACAAGTCTGATTTTAAGATACTTTGATTTATAATTATAATCGATAATTACTCGCAAAAATTGTCTAAATCCAAATCATATGGATCATTGCCAAAAGGATTTTCGATCTCTGAGGCAATTCTTTTAACACCAAGCAAAATTACGGCAGCGAAGAACACAACCACAATAGTCAACCAACCAAGAATAGAAACCAATTGGAAAGGTAAGGAGAGACAATAAAACCATACAGTTTGGGCTATATGGATTGCAACTGCAAAATGAACCGGTGTTCTCGAAATTCTTTCAAAAGCTGATAAACATTCTATCAACAAATTAAGATTCGTTAACATATGAATAGCTATTGGGACATTTATCCTCTCTTCTTGAAATTGTGTTGTGATATAATCAGAAATATATAAAGAAATCTCTAAAGGAAGATTGTGATGAACATATAAACTCAGGTTTCTGCGAAATAAAGTTTTGAATCGTAAGCACTCTGATTCTTCCTGATCAATGTTTTCGCTCTCACTTTTATCATCCAAAACCATCAGAGCTTTAAATCCCGGTAAAGTTGAATTTATGTTCGAAATAAACGGTTTGCATTCTTCTCCTCTCTCTTCACGTAGATAATGCTTTGTAGCTATTGCAAATCCTATGAGTAATCTTACGGCACACCTCTTTTCTCTGAAAATTTCTTTTTCTTCTTCCTCTATCATGATTTTTTCCTCTTCTTCTTCTTCCTTGATTTCTTCCCTGATTTCTTCTTTGATATCTTCCCTGATTTCTTCTTTGATTTCTTCCCTGATTTCTTCTTTGATTTCTTCCCTGATTTCTTCTTCTTTGATTTCTTTGATTTCTTCTTCCGTGTTCGACCTATCCTTGTTTTTTGCTTTCAACCTTCCATTATTTAAATGTCTCATTTTATATCTCAATTTTTTATTTTCTTTTTCTGCTTTCTTTTCTCGCTCTGTTCTCTTTCTCTTGACACCCACCCAAATATATCGCGTCAAATTTCTAATCGCAGTCACCATTGTTGACCATGTTTTGCGGCCTTCATAATAGCTGTATATTAAAAATAAATTATATCACATGTATGAATAAAGTACTGTAATTTAACAATTACGTATTAACTACCTATTATGAGCAGCATTTATTCTGTAGGCAAGCAAAAGACCCACAACAAAACTAAGTATATTAATGAATGTTAGCGGAATATCGAGCTTATATTTCGTTTTTAAAGATATTGTAGTCACAACAGCTGAGAAAGCGGTAACAATTAAAGCATGTCCTAAGACTTTTCGGGCCGCAGAGTGCCACCATCTAAACGAAAATGGTATATATCCTTCCTTGATATAAACGTAGGGCATTTCAATGTCATTTTTTTCATCTATCTTGATTCTTTGGTTTATTTCAAAAGTTCTCATCTGATATTATTAAGATTATAAGAAATTCAATGAAAAAAAGCGAAAATAATTTAGAATGGGGGTTTTAGGATTAAGTTATTTCAAAAAAAAAAAGTAAACGTTTAAGAAGATCTATTTCTGTTTTAATCGGAAAATTAAATAGACGTGGCCAGCTGTTCTTATAAATTTTGGACATCTGGTGAAAAATTGACCGAATGATTGTTTGGCCGAGTTGATAAGTTTGTGAAAATGTAGCGATCATTATCGAAATCGAAATCACGAACTTATCGAATCAGCCAAACAATCATTCGGCCAATTTTTCACCAGATATCCAAAAATTTATGAGAACAGCTGTAAATTGGTTGTTGCTCACTTTCCCGAAGTCCATTTTTCTGAAATACCATTTCACCAAAGTCGCAATACTGACAATCCATTTTACTAACAGGGAATAGTTCTATGTCATTTCACCGAATATCAATTAATCGAAACTTATTTAACCGACAGTTCATTTCACCGACTAAGTAACTATAGTCATTGTCGTTAGGGGCAGGTTTTGAATTAGAGTTAAGGTGAGTGCAATTTTTTTAAAAAAAACCTCGTCGGAAAATGAGCTATCAGTGAAATAATTGTCAGTGAAACAATCTTATCGGTTAATTGACTTTCAGTGAAATGGTATTTCAGAAAAATGGAGTTCGGAAGTTAAACCCAAACCAATAAAACTGACTTCTTTTGATAAACATCTGCTAGTAAAAGATTATATAAAACAACTCGGCGGATTTTTGGAATTTGACCTTTATCTAAAACCCCAATTATTCTTTAAAATTGAACCCTTATTTGAAATTCCGGTTCATAGTTATATAAAATCCGATAGTAATATTTTTTAAGCAGATATATAAGGGGGATTTAATGAAGGTCAAATTCCTCAGATCGGACGAGTTGAATAAGTGTAGCCCATGCTTGACAATCATGTGAGCTGTTTCAAATCGTGTAATTATGTTTTAAATTAGAACAGAATCAATACCTTTTTTTAATAATGTCTGCTGAATTTTATATAACTTGGATATTATGACAAGTTGCTAAATACAAGTTGCTCTCTTAATGAATAAAAATTTTGAACAATTCATTGTATCAAGAAAATTTTATATAGACTTGGAGTCTAACTTCATTACATCAAGATTTTAATCAGTCTTACTATAACAAGAGTTTACTGTAACTTTTATTTTCGATTGTATCATATCATACCATTGAGCTCATCAAATGATGTCAAAAATCATTCGATTCTCCCAAAATATCTATCTAGTTCAATAAAAAAACAGTCGTTGCACGACGTATGCATTGCAGATAAAAAATGCACATACTGAATCTGTGACAGGTTATGTAGATCATCGCTGATTGTAACCAATAAAATCACAAGATCTCGTGTGACTTAAAAAATTCGAAAAGTATTGTAAAAACAGAAAAATCACAAATAACTCTAAATAAAAGTTTTCAGCACGAACATTTTAGTTATATGAGAACATCTTTAAATATCGAATATTAAGTAAATTAAAACCTGTGCTCTTTCGATCTGGTAAGCGGCATAACCGCAGTACGTGCATAAAAAATAATGTATGACGTCTGCTTGAAGCTATCAGATATCACTGGGAGTGTACAACATCGGTCTAATTATAAACATAGTGCAAATTATATGAGTGCCGTCAAGGAAAACTTGTCATCGGAATTTCGATTATATTTTATTTTATACCGGACACAATTCATAGGAAACTTTCGTATGATTGGCTGTTTAAATCAATTTAATTTTACAATTTAAAGTACTTTTTTAAATAAAATAAAACTATGAAGAATAAAAAAGAAATATATAGAAAGTTTTATTAGGGTTGTAGGATTTCATTATTAAAAATAATTAAAATCTTTTTTTGTTTTAGAGAAGTTAGCATGGTAATAACTCAATTCTATCTATTTTTAAGAAGCATTATTATGTTAATTTTTTTAAAACAAAAAGAATTTTGATTATTTTTAATAAGTGAGTCTTACAATCTTGATAAAACTATATATATATGTATATATTTTTTGGTATTAAGATGACTTCTTTGGTCTTTTGACTTTTATTAATGATTTTTTGTAATGTAATTTTATAAACCACTATAGAAAAAGTGTACAATTAGTTATACTTGTTACTATTTTATATTACTTATTTAAGAAGTTCACTTAAAGGTTCTCTGCTAATTGTTATACCTAATACTTCTGCTTAGATATTTTATTTTAAACCCTCTAAACTTACACTTGTGTTAACATTACTGAATTAAGTCTAGGTCATCATCTCAATCTTAGAATTATTTTATCCTTAAGGTAAACTTTTTAGAATCTTTTGCACTTATTTTTATAGTTAATTTAGTATTGTTATAACAGAATCAACATTTGTAGGCATAGTTATATTATTTAATTATTATGTTTTTGTAGAGTTCATTTGAATCTCAGCATCTATTTTATAACATATCTCTGGTATTTTAGTATACTTCTATTTTTTCACTAAACTTTCAATTCAGATAGTTTATATAGAATTATGATTAGTTAATCAGTATATTAAACAGTCTAATATTTTTTTTTCTTTAATTCATTTTAGTAGTTTAATTAGTGATAACTTCAAGACTTCTAACCCAAAGATTCTTGTCTATTTAGTATTATAAGTTTAATATTCATTTCCTAAATCTAGTCTTTACAATAATATTAAAAATTTATACTATCTTTCTATTTGGGTTTTCTCAAATAAACTTTTTATTTTCTAATTTTAACAAATTTATATAATCATAAAGACTTATTTAGAGTTTGCACTACTTGATGCCAGTTTATATTTTTTTATATAACTAATTATATAGATATTTTATGATTTGTTAGTTATACTAATATAACTGTTATTATAGATATCTTAATCTAATTATTAGAAACAGTTGCTATAATATAAATATTACATAAGTAATTATTTAAATTTTCATCATTAATAAGATTTGAACACTTAACCTATCACTTAAGTAATTGATAACTTATCTACTTCACTAAGTTGTTATACCCATATATATAAAAGAGAGTTAATAAAAATATAACAAAATTTTTTTAAATAAAAGTTTTCTTAACTTTAAGCTTAAATATCTTAATAATTATTTTATTAAATTTAATAATTTTTTTATTTTAATTTTATATAATTTCAAAATTAAAATAAAAAAATTTTTATTAAATTTAATTAAATAGTTGTTGAGTTATTTAAATTTAAAAATTAAAAAAATTTTATTAAAAATAATTTGTCTTTTTTTATTAATTTGTTTCTTTTTTATTAATTTGCCTCTATATATTTATTTTGTTATTCAAATATAACTAATTTTAACTCCTAGTTATTAATAATATAAATTAATTATAGGTTTAATTAATAAAATTTTAACTTCTATATTATATTGATTAAACTAATAAAATTTAACTCTTATATTATATAAATTAAACTAATAAAATTTTAACTCTCTTGTAGTTGCCCAAAACAAATTAATAATAAAGATAAAGGCAAAACCTCACCTTAACACAAAAAAAAAATAAATAAAATTTTAACTCATATTGTTATTATTAATAATAATATAATTTTGATTAGTGTATATATAATTTCTTGATCCTGCTTTTATAATTTTTTTTTGATCACACTTTTTTTTGCTTGTTTTGTTTTGTTGCACTATTTCTTTAAATATTGCATTCATATTACTATATTGTATTTATGATCTTATATTGCATCTATGGCTTTATATTGCATTAATAATCTTATATAGCATTCATGGTTCTATATTGCATATTTTTTTTGTTAGCTTTGTTATTTGTTTTGCTGTCTGTTTTTTTGAACATTGCATCCACAGTTCTATATTGTATTCATAGCTCTATACTGCATTCTACAGCTCTATATTATATTATCTCTATCTAACTTTTCCTTAGATATTGTATTCATATCTTTATTTCAAACTTACTTGTATATTGGATCTGATTGTCTTACCTTTTTTATCTTATAATTTTTTTATATTTGGTTTTTTTGTTTTATATCTTTAATTTGATTATGTTTTTATTAATTTACATTGCTTAATTCTCTTGTCTTATTATATTAATTAATTATTCTTATAGTACTTGAACTATACCATTTCTTTGCTGCTTCTATATCTTAATCTTACCTTTCTTTTTCTATTTTATTTATTGTTTTATTACCACTCTTACATCCAATTTATTTTTTTATACTTTTTTTCTTATTATATTTATATTTTAAATAGAATTAAATAATATGGATTCACCTTTTCTGTGTTATTTCTTGTCTAAAGATAATGCAACTTTTTTATATCAGTATCACTTTTCATATAAAAATAGTTTAGTTGGTAAAATTCAGTCAAATAGTTTTGAAGATGATGAAGAAGAGGAAAATTATAGCTATGAAGACTTCAATAATGAAGAGTTTAAAGTTAAAAGTAAGTATAATATTTGAAACATGAGAGCAAGCTAAATCATACCTTAAGGATTATACTAAAAGTGAAGGGTTTTGTTTTCATAAAAGATATTACATCTCTAATCTAGTTGATAAAAGTACAATTTATTATTGTACTTTTGAATACTCATATGTATGTATACATAAAGCTGAAAAGGTAATATTAGCAGAAAATTAAAGAAAAAGAAATTTAGTGATTATTAATTGTCCTTGACATGTTAATATGTTATTTTCTAAAACAGTATATGAAATTTATGTAAATAGTATTGTGGATAAGCATAATCATTCTATGAATCCTCTTATTATAGAGATGACACCAAGGTTTTGTTATCTATCTGATAAAAAGTAAGAAAAAATAAAGTTTTGGACAGTTTATAAGAAGTTAGATATATCAATCCAATATAATCTACTTGTTGCAACATTTCCTGATAAAAAGATCAATAAAAGGATTTGATCAATACAATAAAACATTATAAAAACAATTAAAATCTCAAAAAAATGATGCATGTCAAACTTTAACTAATTTGTATTTAAAAAAGAATGAGGACCCATTATGAGTAGTAAAGACAAAATTTGATTTAGATAGTAGAAAGTTAACAAGATTGTTTTGAATGTCTCCAGATTAAACATGAGCTTATAACAGTTTTATGATGTAATAATTATTGATACAACATTCAAAACCAATCAATTTAATATAATCTTATTAATAGTTACAGTTATTGACAACAACTTTAGAAGCTTAATAGTAGCAGCAGTGCTTTTAGAAGATGAAACTGAGGCAGCATTTTCTTGAATTTTAAATAAATTAAAAACAGCTTGTTTTGTTATTTCTACTGTAATATATTTAGATGCAGATCCTGCATTAATCTCAGTTGTGCAAAATAATTATTAGAAAATCTAACTTTCTATTGCATATTTCATATAGAGTTAAATTTAAAGAAAAAACTAAAAGGAAGGTTGGGTAATTAGTTTGAATTATTTTGAACTAAATTTTTCACAATGCATAATTCTTTTTGTTAAAAAAAATTTGAAGTTGGATGGGCTCAATAATTGAAGAGTTTTCTGTTTATAAACATTATCTTATCTACACATTACATTTTTGTAAAAGTAGTTAGGCTAGATATACTGTGAATAAATGTTTCATAGCAGAAATTCAAAGTACTCAATGTGCTGAAAATTCTAACAAAATAATTAAAGCAAAGCTTAGTTGGAGTTCACAGTTAGTTGATGTTATAGATGAATTTTAAGCAGTATTTAATAAACAAGCAAAAAGAGCAATAGTTAGTAAATGTAAAAATAAAATATCAATAAGCAGAATGTCTAATATAATAGAAAAATATTTTTCTGAATTAAATAAGCTATTACATGATTATCTTTCTCTACAAATATTTTAAAAACAATATGACCAAATATTACAATTACTTTGCTATGATGCATTTTTAGTTAATAATTGGAATTAATTATTGGAGGTAATAATATTAGTCAGTTAAATATATATTTAGAGTTAAGTTAGTAGATTAAAGTAAGTATTATATTTGATATGTTTATGTAATTTTTTTTTTTATTATTATTAGAAAACTGTAAATAAAGAAAACAATTACAACCAACTACTAGGTAGAGAAGATGATTACAACCAACCACAAGCATTATTTTTATTATTAGTTAGCCATATATCAAATAATGTTCTGGAAGTATAAAAAGTAGTTAGGCATTGATCTTAGCAAACAATGCCTTAATATGTTGTTTTGCTTGATAATGGTTCTTACTTATAAACTTGTTTTTGGCTTATAAATTAGGGCATTGTCTGCAGACACTTTTTTATAATTATGTTTTATTCTCAAAATGCATGCTTTTATATTATACTAATTCTATAGTGATAGTATAATAATAAAAAAGACAGCATCAATCAACAAATTCATTACTTAATGCCAATATATAAAATTAGTACAAACAAATTGGACCAACTTCCTTCTTAACTATTACAATTTAACTATCTCATTAATATTAGAAAAATGACTCATATTATGCAAAAACAAAATCCTAAACAAAAATATAGTTTCAGAATAGGCTATGCAAAAAAGCTCTTGACTATGCTGTCTGAGCTAATAAAGTTAATGAGTTTGTTAATTACTTAAAAAGGTTTATTAAAATAATAAAGATGATTTAGAAAAGCAACAAGAGAATGCTAATAATGATAAAAATTTAGATATTGGTAATCTAATATGTATACAGCACAAAGGACATTAACCTAACTATTATAAATTAGGAGGTAAAGGATTATCAAAAAAAGCACAAATTTTTTATAAAAATACAGCCAACCAGATCTCAAACAACAATGATAGTAAGTTTAATTAAAATATTAATAATAGCAATTCAAAATGTGCTAAACACTGCCATAAATGCAAACAAACAGGTTATTATACTCCAACATGTCCAAATTTATAATAGTAAATTTATATATATATAGAAAGTTAAATAAAGCATATGTTGTTTGTTATTCATTATTATCATTGTAAAATTGCATATATATGTTATACAAATATATTATTAGTTATAAAAAAAATCTTAGCATTTAAAGCTTTATCTATAAAACTGTTTTTAATATTCTAAAAAATAAACTTAATATAAAGGTTAATATAAATAATATTTAAAATTAGGTAATATAAATTAATTATTATTATAATTATTAATTATATATAATTTATATAATTAAATATTATTGGTTAGCATTGTCACATGATCAGGTTATATTACTCAGAAGGCAAGTTAGCAACATTCTTGTTATTTTTTGTAATTTTATTTTTTTAAAAAAATACTTTAAATTATAAATAATATAAAATTAAATTAATTTGAATAGTTAATTATATGAAAATTTTTATAAAACTCAATTTCTAATAAATTATATAAATTGTATCTGGTACAAAATATGATTGAAGATTAATAACAGATTTTTTCTTAATAAATCTTATATAATAATAATTACTAATTAAATTTTTTTTTAATATTAATAGTAAGACATACTTTTATTTTTATTAAATATTTAATTAAGATTTTATATAAAGTTAATTCTGTTTTTAAAATATTATAGAAAGAATAAAAGTTTAGACTAGTATTTTTTTTTTTTAAATATCAATAATGAGGCCATGCCTTTAACTTTATTGAAATTCAATTGAAGTTTTTACAAAGAAAAGCTTGCTTTTAAATTACATAT